CCGTTCGCGTAGTGTCGCTGCCTTTCGCATTCGCACAGCTGCTGCCGTTCGCGTAGTGTCGCTGCCTTTCGCACAGCTGCTGCCGTTCGCCGAGTGTCGCTAGTTGTCGCACAGCTGCTGCCGTTTGCGGAGCTTCACTACATTCGCACAGCTTCTGCTGTTCGCGGAGTGTCGGTGTCGCCGAATTTCTCTGCCGTTCACTACGCTTCCGTCGTTACCGTCGTGAGAGCGGCATTGCTGCTGTTTCCGTCGTCAAATCGACGTTGCCTTGAGCGAGAGGAGACCAGAGCAACGACTGCAGCAGCAGCAGCGGCAGCAGCAGCGACGGATCAATTGGGAACACGGGAAGCAACAGGTCGCTGCTTGGGACGAAGGCGTGGCGCAGCAGCAACTACGAGAACGAGCGAGCAGCCACGCGTGACGCTTCAAGTGAACGCGTGGCCCAGGAACGGCAGCGCGGCGATCAGAACATGGTATGTGCCTGTTGCTGCTCGCAGGGGGGAAGTGTAGTGAGTCCTAGAGCGTCGCCGCGCAGAGGTAAAAGTCGTGTCGCCTGTCCTTTCCTCCACCACTCGCCTCTTGCTGTTTCTAACCCTCTCTTGTTGCTTCGTTTCTTTGTGGCTCCCTCTCTCCCCATGCGTGTGTGTGCCTCACTGCCTGCGAGACGGGCGGGAATGGCAGCGAGTGGGCGGGCAACGGGCGGGCTGCCGTGGCTGGCGCGCACGAGAGACGACAATCCCAGCGAGGAGAAGGGAGAGCGAGGCGCAGAGCGGCCAACGGAACATGGTACGTGTCAGGGCATGCTTGCAGGGGGGACGTGTAGTGAGTCGCCGCGCAGAGGCAACAGTCGTGTCTCTTGGCCTTGCCCCCGCCGCTCGCCTCCTCTTGTGCTGCTCCTAACCCTTCCTTTTCCTCCACCTCTTTGTGCGTGTTTTCTCTCCGCATGCTTGTGTGTGCCTCAAGGCTTCCGAGGTCGAGGCGAATGGCGCGGAGTGGGCGCGGAATGGTGCGGAGTGGGCGCGGAATGGTGCGGAGTGGGCGCGGAATGGTGCGGAGTGGGCGCGGAATGGTGCGGAGTGGGCGCGGAATGGAGGGGACTTGCGTTGCGGCCTCGCTTGAGAGACATCCCGCACGTGTGGCGCAGGGGCGGCACAGCGGCAGAGGGAGCGTGGTACGTGCCAGGGGGTGCTTGCAGGGGGGCCGTGAAGTGAGTCGTAGGGCGTCGCCGCGCAGAGGCAAGAGTCGTGTCTCTTGCCCTTGCCTCCACCGCTCGCCTCCTCTCCTGCTGCTTCTAACCCTCCCTTGTTCCACTGCTTCTGTCTGCGCTTCTCCCTGTGTGTGTGTGTGCCTCATGGTCTGTGAGATGGGAGTGGCAGGGAGTTGACGGCAAGTGACGACCGTGCGGGTCTCGTTCCGGCCCGACACAGCAGCAGCGCTGGTGACTTGAAGCAACAGCGCCTTTACTTTCCAGGCAAGTATTGTCTCCTCCAAACGCTTTTCCTTTTGTGATGCCAAGCGCTCGTCGCTCATACTGCATGTGCTGCGCTGCTTTGTCGTCTGAAATCTGCCAATGGTTGATTCTGGCATAACTCACAAGCCACAGTCCCTTGTTATTGCAGGTATGAGCAGCAGTGGACAAGCAAGCTCGAGCAGCTCGGCTGAAGCCTGAAGCACGGGCTGCAGCAGGGTTCTGTTTGGGGCGAAGGCGTGGCACAGGAGTGGCAGGCTCAGCCAAGGAGGAGAAAACACATAGCTGGAGCGTGGTACGTGCCAGGGGGTGCTTGCAGGGGGGCCGTGAAGTGAGTCGTAGCGTGTCGCTGCGCAGAGGCAAGAGTCGTTTCTGTTGCTTGCGTGTCCATCCCTTGCCACCTGCTGCTTCTAACCCTCCTTTATTTTACGCTGCTTCTGTGTGTGCCTCTCTCTCCCCACGTGTGTGTGTGTCTCTCTCCCCCCGTGTGTGGCTGTCTCTCTCTCCCCCCGTGTGTGGCTGTCTCTCTCTCCCCCCATGTGTGTGTGTGCCTCGTGGCCTGCGAGACGGAGAGCAATGGCAGCACGTGGACGCATGAAGTGAAGGTGTGGCGCATAATTGGGAGAGCAGCGGATGGAGCGTGGTACGTGCCAGGGGGTGCTTGCAGGGGGGCCGTGAAGTGAGTCGTAGGGCGTCGCCGCGCAGAGGCAAGAGTCGTGTCTCTTGCTCTTGCCTCCTCCACTCGCCGCCTGCTTCTTCTGACCTTCTCTTGTTGCGCTGCTTCTGTGTGCCTGTCTCTCCCCATGCGTGTGTGTGCCTCACGGCCTGCGAGATGAGGGGAATGACAGGTAGTGGACAGGGAATTGACGGTGCTGCTGTTTCTGGCTAGCGCGAGAAACAACTTTCCAGCTAAGTATTTTCTCCTCCATACTCTTTGCCTTTTGTGTTGCCAAGCTCTCTTCAACTTTCTTCTTTGTATTTTTTGCTGAACTGTCTCCATTTATTGTTGCTGGCACACTCTCAAGCCGCACACTTTTAGGCCCCAAATGCTGCTACAGCCCACCCTACGTCAAGTTTACCCCCTCAGGTTCCTCTTGTTGGTCTGTGCCTTGCGGTTGCGCCTCCACCAGTGGCCCTTTCCTTTTCTTGCTTTGCAATTTATTCTATTTGCTAGTTCCCTTCAGTTCCGCCATTGGACACTCACTGCTTCCGTGTGGGTGTTGTATGTGCGAGCATGTGTGTATGTGTGTGTGTGTGTGGCGGGGAAGGGGAGGGGAGGGAAAGGGAGGGGTTAATGAAGGGGGATGGGGGGTGCATGGTGGTGAGTGTGCGTCTCAGCCTCCAAGCTCTGGGATGTGTAGCCGATTACTCTTCGGAAGGCTGCACAACGGGAGGACAATGAAGCTCCTTTTTGTTTTCCTTAAAAATTCAAGAGGTAACTGGGGGTGAAGATGCAGCAGCAGGCTTAATGCATCCTACGTTGTCTCATTCTCGTCTCCAGCTCGCTTCCCCATCGCTTCCATCACTTGCAACTTCCATTTCTATCCTCCGTGGTTGCAAAGAGGAGCATGTGGGGCTTCTTCTATTTCCACTTCCATATCATCCTCCATTGTTCTAGTTATAGCCTTTTATTCTTTTACCTTTGCTTCTGCCAATTCTTGGCTTGCTCAAGGATCAATGTGCCCCTCCCAACGTACTCCCTTAGCTCCTCTTTCTCCCCTTCTCCCCACGTCACGCAACAGGTGTGGATGTAGCAACAGAATCGACATGCATCCAGTATCAGTAGAAATATAGAAGGAAAGGAGGGGAGGAGGGCAGAAGTGAAGCTGGGAAGAAGGAGGGAAAGCAGGGAAGAAGGGAAGGAGGGAGGGATGGAAAAGGGGAAGCAGGGAAGGGCAATTGGACTGCTCAGAAACGAGGGTGAGTAAGGGCTATCTCCCTCCCTGCACCCACCCATGCTGTGCCATTTCCATTTTGCTCGTTTTGTTACCCCTTGTTTCCAGATTTCTCCCTCCTCCGCCCAAGCGTCTCTCCCTGCTCCTCTCTGCTCCTCTACTCTTCTCCCTGCTCCTCTACTCTTTTCACTGCTCCTCTACTCTTCTCCCTGCTCCTCTACTCTTTTCACTGCTCCTCTACTCTTTTCCCTGCTCCTCTACTCTTCTCCCTGCTCCTCTACCCTTTTCACTGCTCCTCTACTCTTTTCCCTGCTACTCTACTCTTCTCCCTCCTCCTCTACCCTTTTCACTGCTCCTCTACTCTTTTCACTGCTCCTCTACACTCCACTATGATCTGCTGAGTCCTTGTTCCTGCTTCTCACTTTCAGCTGGTTTCCGTTTGGTTCTCGCTTCTATCTCCCCGGCTACATTATCCCTTCCTTGAATCTAATACTCCCTTGTGGTATTTGTTATCCTCAGCACCCCAATATTCTCCCTGCATCCCCTTCTTTCCTTTCCAGGTCATCTAGAGGCTACAGCAGCAATAGCACTACCAGTATCGAAAGGGTTTCATAGTTAATGCCTTGATAGTGCTTAGGGTGATGTAGGTAGTACTGTGAGTCCTGTTAATAACTAGGATGCTGAGGTATGGTAAGGTACAGTGATGTAGGGTATAACAAGGTATTCTGAGGTATGGTGAGGTATGGTAAGGTGCACCACACACCACAACCAAACCTAGGCTGAATAATCACCGCACAGGTGAAACAGGAATCTCTGGTCTGGACTAAAGTCCAGACAAATGCATTGTAACAGAGACAAGTAGGTCACTCACCCACCTAACCAGACCATATCCACCCAGCCAAGGGATAGATGCACGTGGCCCTAACAATAAGCACACCGGCAGAAATGCAGGATTTTGCAATCATTGATGAACATTTTAGAGTCTTTTGTCCCAAGTTTTGAACGACTTTCTGGATCAGGAACTTGTTTCTCTGAAACAAAACCAGGAAGCGGTATTTCTTTTTTGGGCAGTCTTCCCTTCACTATCACACCATGTGCGGATGTCTATGAACACAAAATCAATTCACGTTTGTACACGCTGATACACCCTCAATCTCATTCATTGATAAGCTAAACGAATCCCGCTGTTTAGCTTATCGTCAAGAATACCGTGGGGGAGAAGAGAGGGAGGAGAGGGGAGGCACCCCGCGCTTCCGCCTCACTCGTCACTTGGCAATTCACCCACACACGTGTTATGTGATGAGACACTAGTTAGGTAGCGCGACCATGTGAACGTTGGGTACAACAATAGAAACCCGTAACGACGTTCCAGCCTATCGTCAAGAACGCACTCCAGTGAGGTGGCTTTTACGAGAATGGACATGCTCCGAGTTACCCAGTTTAAGTTAGGTTTCCGTTTCGATTTTCCACTAATCAGCCACATGACCGCGTATGTGACGAGAGTGTCTTGGCTATTAGCTTCTTTCGAGTTAATCTGTTTCTGACGCTGCGAGGCCGTGTGTGCGGCGTACGCGCTTAATACTGTGATGTGGGTCGCGGTGAGTAGTGGCGTACTGGCGCGGATGAGGAACTGGAAGATGACAGGCAAGTCGGACAAGGTTAAGCACGAGAATAAGGCCGAGAATAAGGCCAAGCAAGCAGGCAGGGCCAAGCAAGCGGACGCAGCAGCAGGCAAGCCATGCTTAGTCTAGACGCCTCAATATGTCGCGATTTCTCTGGCACCTGTTCCGCTTCACCTTTTTTCTTAACATCTCCCCTAATGTACCTCGTCTTGTCCCTCTCCCCCGCCTCCCCCCTCCTCTCAGCCGCGCCCATCCAGGGCGCGTGCGTGCGGTTCTCCCTAGCGGACGTGGTAGCCGCGACGAGCGAGTGGTCACCGCAGCTGCACGTGATGCGGGGCAGCTACAGCGAGCTGTTCAAGGGCGTCGACCCGCGCGATGGCGCCACGCCGTGGCTCCTCAAGCGCCGCCTGCGCTGCACCGACGAGTTCCAGGCCGAGGTGCGTGCGGGGGGGGGGGGTGGGGGGGGAGGGTTGCTTGCAGTAGCTGCTTCTGAGTCGACTCAAGCGCCGCCTGCGCTGCACTGATGAGTTCCTGGCCGAGGTGAGGGGGAGGGGGAGACGGCGCGGTCGATTAGGTTTGGTGGCGGCGGGATGGTGGGCAAGAGAGCGGGGAAGTATTAGAGATGGAGGCTGAAAGAGGAGGGAGGGAGTAAGAAGGGAAAGCAGGGGTGTGATGAAGCAGTCTCTTCAATTGGGCCTGCCTTTCACACGTTTTTCATCAAATCACTGCGTTCACTGTCTCCCCCAGGAACCACCTCAGTGGAGTGGAAGCACTGGACCACCCCTCCCCTCCCCCTCCCCCCTGCTTGCGGCTTGCCTTCCCCAGGTGGCGGAGATGGGGCACAAGAACCACCCTCACCTGGTGCGGCTGCTGGGGTACTGTGATGAGCAGGACGAGCAGGGGCGCAGGGAGCAGGTGGCCGTGTATGAGTTCATGACTGGCGGCAGCATTCAAGACAAATTCGGACCCGGTGAGGGGCACGCACGCACGCACGCACGCACACTTCCAATTCAACACAGCAACTCCATGTCGCCGCAAATGTGGTGCTCAGTGCTCGTGGAAACTCCAAGCGTGTAATGGCTTCTCTGTTCTCCACCGGTGTTGCAGTATACTTGCTGTGCTGCTTCTGCTAGCCTGGCATCTCTCACGCGACATGTGCTTTTTAAAGTGGATTGGCTTGGCCCCATCATTTCGATTCAATTCTACCTTCCAGCGTGGCCGGTGTGTTTTTCTCCTTGCAGGTTGCGCTGGCACGCCTTTAACCCTGCAGCAGCGGCTGGACATTCTTATAGGAGTGGCGCGCGGGTTGGAGTATCTCAACACATTCGGCATCGTGCATCGCGGTCTCAACCCCTCCAACATTCTTCTGGATGCCCGCATGCGCGTGAGTGTGCCGTTCTGTGCCATGCTGTGCCGTTCTGTGCCATGCTGTGCTGTGCGGTGCTGTGCGGTGCTGTGCCGTGCTGTTGCCCAATCGGGCACTATGCACGCAACACACACAGTCATTCCGCTGAACTCTGTGGAGCAGAATTCACCTAGAAAATCGGTTCTCCTGGGTTTTCCTGTGACACCGATGCTGTAAAGAGCCCTTTTCATCCCTTCCGCTCACACCACGTGGTTATCCTGTGTCCCCCGCCCCACACCTCCTACACCGCACTGCACACCACGGCACACAACACGTCACCAGGCGAAGATCGCAGGGTTTGACTCGGTGGCGAGCAGTGCGGCAGTGAGTGAGGGCGAGCGGTTAGTACTATCCACCACGGGCGTGCGTGGCTATGTGGACCCGCACCTGCTGCTCTCCCACGAGCCCTCCCCCACCAACGACCTCTACAGGTGCGCGCGCCTGCCTGCCACTCTCGCTAATCCGGTTGTGCCCCCCTCTTCTCCCCGTTCCGCTCACTCCGCTGCCTCTGCCTGCCTCTCCTGCATGAGGTTACAGTGCCAGGCCGTTGCTTCCTACAGCACTGCACAGCACAGCACCATCTGGTTACTACCACCACTGAGTGCATTCTCTCCAAGCCGCAGTGCTTGTTTTTCCAGGGCCTTTGAGTTCTGAAAGAGTAGAGAGCAACAGCATCAGCATCGTCGTGGAGGATGATGGAGGCTGCTTTACCACCCTCCACCCTCTCATTTTACTGGCATGGCATCCTCTACTCTCTCAACCCTCTCTCTGCAATACCACCCTACCACAATCGTTCCATCTCCATCCCTCTCTTCGCCTCGCCCCTACGTCCCGTTCCGCTCCTCGTCCCCTCCCTCTTTTGCCCACCCACCCACCCACCCTGTGCGCCTTGTGGTTGTGTGTGCGTGCAGTCTGGGGGTGGTGGTGCTGGAGTTGCTGTCAGGCCGCCGTTCCCTCACTCCAAGACAAACCACGGCGCAGACCTTCAGAGAGAGTGTGAGTGTGCGCTGCGGGAGTGTGCTGTGCGTGGAGGTGGTGCGAGTGTGCGAGCGAGTGGAGGTGAGTGTGAACATGAGAGTGCAGTGTGGTGGTCTGTGGAATGTCAGTCAGCACAGTGCCTCCATCATTAGCAGTGTAGTGAATGTGTGTGTGTGTGTGTGTCCCTGGATGGCTCTCAAAATCTTCTATTCGTTTGCTGCGGAGATAAGGCAGCAGGAGAGTGCCCGCCCCCACTGTCTAGGCATCGTTTCTATCTTGCTTTTATCCCAGCCAAGGGCCAAGGGCCGCTTCACTGCATCGCTGCCCTTGGCTTGCCTCCTCCCAGCATCATATTGTGGTTCAGGGTTCATGGTTTCCGGTCCAATGTCAGGTCTTACTTCCACCCACTTCCAGTCACCCTTAGGTTCTTGCCTCCTCTTCCTCCTCTTCCTCCTCTTCCTCCCCTTCCTCCCCTTCATGCCACACCAGATTGAGTCGCAGCTCCAAGCCAACAACTTGGCTGCTTTGATCGATCCCACCCTCGCCTCCTCCTTCCTCCCACACGCCACCACCACCAACACCAGCGCCAGCATCCCCAGCAGCAGCAGCACCAGCATCAGCATAGTTGCTAGTGCCGCCAGCGCCAGTACTGCAGCCACAACAGCTGGTGGCACTGTCGACACTCCACTGACCGTGCCCATACCGAAGGTGCTTATACCTAGTCTGGTGCGGCTGGCTCATGTCGGGCTCTCATGCACTGCCATGCCTGCCTCCTCCCGGCCCTCCCTGGGAAGAATCCTTACTGAGCTGGAGATTGTGCGGGATGACGTGGCAAAGGAGCTGAGGAAGATGGAGGAAGAGGCGGAGAAACAAGCAGGGAAACTGGTTGAAGGGAGCGGCGGCGCTACAGAAGACAATATGGAGCAGGCTCATCTTGACTCGTGGGCTGTTCTCACCCCAAGTGATGGTCTTCCTACTCCACCTCGCCCCCCTCTTCCTGTCGCTGCTCCCTCCTCCTTCTCCTCCTCCTCCGCTCTTCCGCTGGCGCCGCTGCTGTGCCAGCAGGTGAGTGTGGCGGAGGTGGTGCGGGCAACGGGCGGGTGGGCGGTGGAGAGGCGGATCGGCAGCGGCGGGTTTGGCGACGTTTACCGCGGAGTGAGCCCCCTTGATGGGTGCACGCCCTGGGCTGTCAAGCGCGCCAAAGTGCTCACCAATGACTTCCGGCGCGAGGTGGGCAGAGAGAGACTCATGGGATGGGATACATGGTGTTAGGAGCTGTTATTTGTAGTCCACACCAACCTCTGTAATTTCCGCGTAAGGTGAGAGAATGGGATGGGCGCCGAAGCCCCTCTTTTTTCTCTCGACCCGCGTCCTCCATCCCACCGTATCACTCCCGCGCTCCCCTGGTGGCAGATCAACGAGATGGCATCGAAGCACCATCCCAACCTGGTGCGGCTGCTGGGCTTCTGCATGGACTATGACGCGGCAGCGGAGCGCATGGAGCAGATCGCCATCTATGAGTTCATGCCCAATGGGGACCTGCACCAGCGCATGCACGCAGAAGCCACAGGTAAGGCGGCAAGCAAGCAGGGGACTTTGTGGTGCGTGCCTTAAAAGGACACAGTCACACAGGTGCCTCCGAACCATACAGGGGAGAATGGGTTGTGTTGCACAACTGGGATTGTTGTGCTGCTCTTGCTGCTCTCAGTGAAGGACCTTCCTGTTTCGTTCTCCTGATCCGGCTTTTCTTTTCCCCTCACGTGTCGTTCTCACCTCTGTTTTGTTCCGCAGGTAAAATTACACCTCTGACTCTCCAGCAGCGGCTGGACATTTTGATCGGAGCAGCGCGCGGGTTGGAGTACCTCCACAGCTTTGGCATCGTGCATCGCGACATCAAGCCCGCCAATATCCTGCTGGACCGCCACATGAAGGTGCCTTCCCTCCCCCCATCAGCCCCCATGGATACAAAGCCAACTCGTGGTTGAAGCAACACGAGCAGTGATTCTGTACCATGCGACTCAATGCCCATCACTGTGTCCGCGAGGTCGCTATATGTTCTACGGTACAGGGTCACTGTATGTTCGTTCCATGGTAAACCTTGTGCTCACTTCCTTCCTTTTCCCTCCGCTTGCTTCTCTCCCAATAGATTTTCTCGCTTCTCTTCCTCTTGCCGTTCTGCTGTGTGCTTCCCTGTTATCCTCGGTCCTGCAGGCGAAGGTGTCCGACTTTGGGTTGCTGAGGCTGGGAGAGGGCAGCTGTGCAGTGCAGTCCACGCGGGTGATGGGCACACCGGGCTATGTGGACCCCGTCTACTCCATCACTCGCAAGGCCACGCCCAGTGCTGACGTGTACAGGTGCGAATGCGTGTGCGTGCGCACACGTGCACTTGCTTTGCTGCCCAGTTCGACTGTCGACTCATGCCCTCCTCTCACTCAGGCTTTTGCTATGCGCCCATAGTCCATAGTTCCTTCGTTACCCGTAGTTCTCATCTATTGCCGCTCGTCCGACCTGGTTCCTCCCCAGTCCCGCACTCCTCTCTCTCTTCTTGTAACGCCATTCTCTGTCTACTGTCTATACACTCTCTCTTCCGCCCCCATCCTCTCCTCATTCCTCTCTGACGCTTCCCCGCCCTCGCGCCTGCACTGCTCGCCCTTCAGCTTTGGAGTGCTGATGATGGAGCTGCTGGCATGCAAGCATGTCGTGATGCTATCTGAAGATGGCTCGCACACCAACATCAAGGACTGGGTATGCTGCTTCCGTTCCCCCTTGATGTCCCTCCCTCCCACTCTTTCCATCCCTTCCCTTGTTGTCCCCCTCCCCCTGTCCCTTCCCTGTCCTTTCATGCCCTGCTCCCAATATGTTCTTTCACTCTTCCCCTTTGTCTCCGTCCGTCCCATTCTTGACAGGTGGAGCAACAGGTGGAGAGCGGGAACGCTGCAGCTGTTGTGAATGCGGATCTCAATGCACCACACGCCATGGCCTCCAAGCTAGTGGAGCTGGCTCTTTCATGTGTTGCAAGACTCGTGTCCGATCGCCCAAGCATGAGCCATGTGCTAGTCCAGCTTGAAACTCTGCAGAAGGAGTACATGGGTGGAAAGCAGGAGAGAGTAGCTAGACAGTTAGATGCAAGCGTTAGGCAAGCCTCTCTAAATTGCAGGCCTCTGGAGGAAGAGCTTGAAATCATCAGGAGTATTTATGATGGTGATTAATGTGCAAACGAATAGGCTTATTTATGCTAATACCAATATTAGTGCGAAAAATCACATTAGCTGTGTCGAACATGTCTGACCTACAGTACCACCACCAACCAATACAAGGTTTCCCCCATTCTGTGTTCGCCTATCATATGTCATATATTAGCTTTCGTGCTTTGGATGAAGTAAAATGTGAAATGTACCGTATGAGGTTTGGCAGTGGGTACAACGACATCCCTAGTATCACGTTCCCTGCTAGTCGTAAATGGTGTACAGGATGGCGTCACCGCTGACATGTTTCGATGCTGGCCTCCAATACCTCGTCGCTTCCGTTCTCCTCCTGCTCTTCTGACCGTAAAATCCAGCTGGATTTATGGTGGCATTTTTTTTTCCGGGTTTCCTCACTTCCACACCCCAGCAAAGCTGGGTTGCTAAGTGAGTCTCCTCCCTGCTCCAGAGTTTTACGGTCGAGACGCTTATGACTTGGGAATGTAGAAACGGAATGGCATCCTTCAACGACACAGAAACATTTGCTTGTTCAACCGTTTGTAGCCCAAACGGTTGCAGCAAGCAAGCCCCCAATAACATAACAGCAGCTGGCTTTGTCTGTAGGCTTTAGGTCGCTACGCCACGTGTACCAGACTGAACTCGTGGGCGATGCGTAGGCAAACAGCTGGTTCGGCCACATCGTAGACCTCATCCAATCAGCACGACTCCGCCCTGCTTGGGATATCGCGCTTTGTGTGCTTCCCCCTCATCGGCTTGCAGCGGGAGGCATCAAACATTTTTTTGGCGAAACAAGTTTGCTGGGAGTTACCCGCCATCGAAGGTGTTGCGAGTTTGTAACTGAGAACGTAACGAGTTGTTTTTCTTCGTCAATGTCCCTGGGGGGGTTGGGTTGGGTTTCGTCTTCTCGCAAATTTCCTAACAATTGAGCGTGACAGCAAAAGCTAAAACCAATAGCCAAGTCGAGGCGTGAAAGTTGAGCCGTCTTGGTCGTCGTCTCGCCTCCTCGGTCCGTTCTTACGTTCTCTGTTAGAACCGGCGAACGTAAAATACAATATGGGAAACCAGTGTTTCCCAGACAGTTATCCCGTATGTAACGTGATCACCTAGTGAGGCGACTAAGCGCATTTGAGCCTCCTACCAGCAGTCGCTTCTGACTGAAGCTGTAGAAGCTCCAGGGAGGGTCTCTCACCTCTTCCCGCTGCCTCGAAGCCCGCGCTTGTCGCAATTCACAACTCTACACAATCCATTCGCTCCTCCCTCCACGCACCCACCGCGTTCCCGCCAATCGCAGCTCCCCGCGTCCACCCACCCACCACCCGCTCATATCCACCGTCCACAATCTCCCCTTCACCAGCCGTCCGATCCGCGCGTCCCATCCGCGCGCCATGCGGCTGGCGGAGATGCGCGCGGTGTACGCGCAGCTGGCGCACCTGATGGCGGGAATGATTCTCGTCGCCATGGGGCTGTGCGTCGCGCTCGTCTCCATGCTCGACATCATCGTCGCCGCGCTCTGCCCCACCGACCAGTGCCCCGAGGCGCTCATGCTCTCCGCCGGCCGCGCCACGGTAGGAGCGTGCGTGCGCGCCGCGGTGCCAATTGGGCGTGCGCTTCGCCGTGCCCTCTGAATGAGTGAACGTTAAGGCCTATGTCTTTCCCCGCGCCCTCCCCCCACGCCCTCCCCTCAACCTTTCCCGTCACGCCGTCCTCCTACATCCCCGTTTTGCGCCCCACTTCGCGCCCGTCCCTGGCGGCATGGCAGATAGGCGGCATAGCGAACATCATAGTGGCGCCCATATTCGGGGGCCTCTCCGACAAGTACGGCCGCAAGCCCTTCCTGCTGCTCGGCATCGCAGGCATCACCATCCCCTACGGTGGGCCCTCGCCGCACGCCTGCACCTTCTCTTCACCTTTCCTATCGGCTGTCAGGTCTCCTCTCCCACTCTGTTCATTCGTTATTCGTTTTCCCCTAGCCTAACTTCAGCTTCTCTTCGCCCGCCTCCCACCCTTTTCCCGCTTCACCACCTCACCGCTCCACCATCTCCCCTCCCCAACCCCCTCACCTACGTTGCTTCTTCATAAGCGTCACGGTTTGCCCGTTGGCCCACTCCCATTTTCGCCCCAAATTGCAACTTCCCGTACCCCATACAGCCATCCTCGCTACGAGCTCCAGTCGCCTGGCCGTGTACCTGTTCTTTGCGGCGGAGACGGTAGGGTCGGCCATGGGGGGCTCTGCATGGCTCAATCTCATCTATGCCTACGTGGTGAGCTGAGCTTGCGGAACGAGGCTTTCCGAATTGGCCTTGCTTGCTGATCCCACTTGAACTCCTCCGTTACTGCTTCTTCTGCATGCCTCGTATCTTCCACTCTTCAGCATTTGTTGTTACCTCTCTCTCCCTCTCCCCACCCTCTTTCTTGCCTCTTCACAAACTCCCCTCCCTGCCGCACCATCACTACTCAACTGCTGTCGTGCTCTTCTCGCATTTCTTTTTTCTCTTCTCCCTCTCTGCCTCCCTCTCTCCCTCCCGCCCACCGTCTCCCTTTCTCTCTATCCACTGTGCAGGCGGACGTGACAGGGGAGGCCAACAGGGCGGCGGCGTTTGGAGCCATCTCCGGCACCACCGCCGTTGGCTTCCTTGCTGGCCCGCTCGTCGCTCGATTCGTGCCTCCTGCCATCACTTTCCATGTGCGCCCCAACCTCCCACGCACACACGCATGTATGCACACACATAAGCACGCGCACAAACTCTGCCGCTGTTGTGGTGTAGTCTAGCTATCCCTTGCTCCTATGCTGTTTGTCTCACTGCCCATGCTCCCGTGGTGGTGGTGGTGACCCCATGCATGCATGCGCGCAGGTGGCGACACTGCTGTGCTCGTGTGGGTGGGCGTACATACTCATCATGGTGCCTGAATCCCTGCCCTCGCACCGCCTCCTGCGCAAGGCCGCCTCGCTGGCCGACGAGGAGCATGGTAGCGTTGCTGCTGCCGCTGCCGCTGCTGTGGCGGCTGTGGATGTCGAGAGGATTTCAGGAGGGGGTCAAGAAGCGGGAGGGGGAGGAGGAGGCAGAGGGGGGAATGTGGGGGAGAGGACGTGGCTGCTGGAAGGGTGCAGAGATGGAGGGAATGGAGAGAAGGGAGGAGGAGGCAAAGGAGGGGGACGTGAGGGGGGAGAGGTGGGGGGAGGAGTGGGGAGTGCAGGGCGGGGAGGGGCGCGGGGTGTGGGGGGAGGAAAGGTGGCGTTGATGCGCAACAGATCAACACTAAGAGAAGCCATGCACGTCATGTCCTCCAGGTGCCCCTGCTGCCCCCTCCCCGGCTCTCCCTGCCTCTCCCTGCTGCTCACTGCCGGGGTGGCGCTGCTTTGGATGGACTTACTGCTCCTGCCCCACGTCTGCCTTGGCAAGAACCTGTTCACCCTTCGTGCCTTGTTCGGCCATTTTCTTGAATTCACCCATCTCTTCCTCTCGCCATCCTCTCAATTCAACACCATTCCCCTCCCTTCCGTTACCTCCCACCTCCCGGTGTGCCCCGCCCCGCACGACCCAGTCCGCTCGTGTCTACTCTGCTGCTCGTGGCCTTCCTGCATGCCTTTGCTGACAACGGCCAAACGTCAAACATGTTTGTGAGTCGCTCTCCCTTCCTTTGCCTTCCACAAAGACCCTCTTCTCCCTGCAACCCGCACCCTCCACGCCCTCTTGCAGCCTGCAACCACGTGGTTCCCTCTGAAAATTTCTCAGCAAGCACAAAACTGGCCGCTCAAAACTGGCCGCTTGGTCTCTCAAATGAGGACGACTTCTCGCTCCACAGTGCTGACTTTGGCCTTGGAGACGTTTCAAATCTCATCTCATCCAATCCCGATCCTCCCTCCCTCCCCTCTCTCTTCCCCTCGCCAGTACGTGTTCAAGGCCAAGTTCCACTGGAACAAGGACGACTTCTCACTCTACACCGCAGGAATCGGCCTCTTTGCCGTGCTCTCCCAGGTGCACTGCTGCTACGAAGCACTCTGAGGAAATACACCAGCTCTTACCCGCACCTCTTACACACATACTCATCCTCAGCCACTCTTTCTGTCAAGCCATTGTTGATCGCACCATCCATCCATCCCACTCTCCGCATTGTTTCGCCTGCGTAGCAACCCTTCCATTCTCAGCCTTCTTAACTCCATCTATCTCCCCTCGTCGCCCCACCCACTGCCAGCTCGTGCTGCTGCCGCTGCTGCTCCAGATACTCTCCCTTCGCTCCGTGCTCATCCTTGCAATTTTCATCAACAGCTTTCATGTGAGTGAGCCGCACCCCTATTATGACGATCAACCTCATTCCATTGGAACCGCTTAGTTAACCTGTACATTGATTATAAGCCATGTCAATGAAACACATTCGGAGTGCGGGGGTGTGATTCGTGGATTTGGTATCTCAACATTGCTGAGGTCAGGTCAGGGCATTGGAAGTCTTTCTCTTCACAGCTACCAAGCACTCGCATCCCTTCCACGCATGAGGACCCACACCCATCCATCTCTCTGTCTATCTCCTTCCCTTCCTTCTCCCTTTGCCTGCTCATGTCTGTGTCTGTATGCCCCCCATGCGTGCAGATGGTCCTGTATGGGATTGCATGGAAGCCATGGGTATGTCCTGTCCTGTCCGCCAACCTTATTTCTGTGCAATCCACTCCGCACCCACCCACCACATCTTCCCATGCAACCATGCTGCACGGAATATTCATGCGCTCTTGGCCCTGTTTGCATGCATGACCTTGTAAGTAAGCTTCACACGATGCTTCGGCCTGACACGTGGCATGGCACGTGGCATGTGTGCAGGTGGTGTACCTCGCACTATCCATGAGCCTGGTCTCCGCGCTCACTCAAACCTCGGTATGCTCTCTCCTTGCCTTTCCTTTCCTCTCCTCATCTCTCTTCCCCTCTCCTTTTCTATCCTCCTATCCTATCCTCTCCTCTCCTATCCTTCCCTCTTCTTTCCGCTCCTCCGCTCTCTTCTCCTCTCCTCTCTCACCCCCTCTCCTCACCACCGTCACCTCTCTCTTGTTGCCTGTCCGTTCCGTTATGCTTGTAAAAATCACACATGCAAAGCGCCTCTAATTAAACACGCCTCCCCTCCCCTCACTTCATTTCCCCCCTGTCACATGCCTCTCCCCCATTTAGATTGGCAGCATGGTCTCACACCTTGCAGACCCCAGTGAGCAGGTGAGACGGGGATTCTGAGGCATGTCAAAGATTCGATAGGTGAGTTACAAGGGCCCATTCTGAATATGCAGTGAAAGCTGGTGAGTGCATGTTCCTGCGTGCACTCGACTCGACCTCCCTCCCTTTGGTCGTGACTCGTGCCTCCCTCCTTTTCCCGCTGCCTCAACCACTGCAACCACCATGACCACCACCGCTCCTCGCATCCTCCACTTCCTCCTTTCTTCCTTCCTTTGCCTATCTCGCCTCACAGGGCAAGCTGCAAGGGGTAGTGTCAGGCGTCTCCTCTCTCTCTGCTGTGCTCGCTCCTCTCACCATCAACCCCATCACTGGTATACCCTCCTCCCTTCCAGCATCCTGAGTCCTCATTCTAGCACTTACTGCTGTTACTAATTCTCTTTTACTAGTTGTGGGAGCAAGGGGGACAGGGGGCAGAGGCACAGAGGATGTGAAGTACAAGCGAGGGTTAGGGAGGGCACAACAACCACTTTTGTGATCCCCCAGGAATGTGGTTCCCTTCCACCCCACCCTTACCCCCTTCCCCTCCACTCTCCCATCCTGCTTCCCCTCTGCTCCTCTCCTTCACCCGCCCCACCAGCGTATTTCATGTCTGACTCAGCGCCTATTCACCAGCCTGGTGCGGGCATCATCGTGGCTGGCATTGTCGAGGTAACACCACACCCACGTGCTCTCCCTTCCCCCCTTGCCCCTACCCTTGTCAATGCGCCCTTGCTTTTCATCCCAGTCCACAGGACCCCTCTGCAATGCAACCACACCTTGCATCTCCACGATTCATTCACGCCCTCTCTTTTCAATCACGCCTTCCAGGTTCCAACCCCTCCTCGTTCCTCAAGTCTAATCTGTTCCCATCCCCAAATTCTCCCCTGCTACACCCATCCACTCTCCCTGCCTTGTCCCGCTCTGCCTCTTGTCATCATCGTCACCACCATGGCAGGCGGTGGCCTGTGTGCTGGTGCTCGCACTGCCGCCTACTGCTGGCAAGGCAGGGGTGAGAGCAGTAGATGGGCCGGGCTCACCAACTGACTGCCATCCCACTGCTGCTTCGCCTGCGGATGCTGATGTTTCGGGTAGCACAGGGGGTGATAGGGGTGGCTCTAATTCCTCGGGTCGTAGCGAGGGCAAGCGCACGGTTACTTTTGAGGACGACGCTTCTAGCCACAACAGTGGCAGCAGCGACGCTGGTGGCAGTAGCAGTGGCAGTGGCAGTGGAAGCAGCAGCAGCAGTGGCAGATCCATAATCAGCCAAGGCAGCCTGGGGAGTAGAGAAGCTAATGGTGGAGACGTGTCTATAACGACGCCACTCCTGTCTTAGAATGTGAAACCTTAGACCAAGGTGCTCTGTTCTATTCTTTCTTCGCCCTGTCCATACGTGGCAAGAAGCTTTCAGGTCGGTAGTCGTGAAAGATAGGTGTATGAATATACGAAATGCTGTATTGATTACGAGACAGCAATAAAACGTGATAATTGCCTCCATTTTATATGTCAAGAGCCACGCCTAGCAATCCCTATGCCCCATACCACTCCAAGCACAACCCCACTCTGCTCTTTCACTTCTTCTATTACCCTCTCCAATGATCAGTGTGCCTACTAGTTATCTCAGCGCAGAAGGTCTGTTGAGAAATTCATTGATGGGTTCAATGATCCACTAGTATGGTCTAAATAATTAATATACACACTGCTCTCCTCTGTTCCTCAGTATGCCACCTGTTCCTCTCGATAAGGCTCCTCGATACAACTTCATTCGCCAAGGAAACCACACAGCCAGCATCGCGCGTCTCGTAAAAAGGGGGGAATTCCGCGGGGATGCAAGCGGCGGAGGAGGAGGCGGAGGGTGCAGCTTTGGCGGAGAAGGGTGCACGCACAGGCGGAGGAGCATCGGCGGACGGGCAGAGGAGCGGCGGAAGCCAGTTTGGGGAGGACTTGGCTGCGGGTAAAGGGGGAACCTTGGGATTCGAACCATCTCGAGATTGCCTTGCCACACGGCAGATGAATGGCACTGACCGATGTGCTGCGGATGAACGCGTGAGACAACCCTGTTGGTGCGGGGTGTGATGTGAATATCAGCTTTCCCAGCGCACTACAAACTCGCTACAAGTTTCCGAACCGTTCTCAACCAAATTTGACCCTCCGTCAAACATCCGACATCCCCCCGCATACCCCCAAACCTGCACAATGACAGAATGAGGAAGCACTTCGCCTTCCCCACAAAGCACGAAATGATTTCGCGAACCATGTCGTCACTCAGCTCTTCCCCTCTGACTGCAACAGGGGTTGGCGGCGAAACTCAGTTTCCAAATGCCACGGTGGAGGGGCTGACAACAGAAGTTACATGGGAGTTCGCTAATTCGCTAAACCAGGACCCCAGCTTCTCCTTCTGGATGATGATTTTACAGCTCCTCCGTCGCTCCTCTCTATCACTGATTGTGTCAGAACCCTGATCCTGGCACTATCATCGTTCCCTCCCAATCCTTCTGCCAGCCGCCTCCTAAGCACTAGAATCGGCTCAATTCAGCAGCACGCTTCGGGAAGCGGATCGCGGCGGTTGTATGGGCGGATTTTCTTGAGGCCACGTCACTGCATGTTCGAATTTTGTGTTTCCACCCGTGTTTTGTTCTGGACCGTTAAAACAGCACACGTGTCCCAAATTGAGGACAAAGGATTTCGTGGCACTTTAGGCGGTCCAATCAAACGTTGGGTTAATTTGGCGGTCCAATCAGAGCTGGGGCCCATGTTGTCGTTGGCGAATTGGTATGATCCACAATAGCCCACGGTGGCAGGTTTGGGACCACCATAGAAGCCAGCAAGGCGGATTTCCAACCGCTGAATATTTTCACCGAATAGCGCCTCTCAACAGTCTGCATTCAGGCATTCCCCGCATCTTCAGGCTCATGTTCTGGCGTCTCTTCTCGGAATTGCAGTTAGTTTTTGCGTCCTTGTAGGCATTTTGCCAGTCAACTTTGGCTCCCAATTGTTTTTCCAGTTTCGAACCATCGCCGTCCTCTCACGTCGTCACCTATCAGCCTGGTTCGTTCTGTTGGATCGAAAAGCTTCATACATTCGTCGATCGTGGGAGTTTATGCCACGTTACCGAGACAACTTCGCCTACATGTACGTCAGGTACAGCAACCATCCTTATATCGTTTTTTCGCATCAACTGTTAATACAAATAAACCTACGCGACGATCTTTCGTTTTGTTTTCAATGCCGATCCTAATTATTTCACTCTCCATGCGCAGGATATTATGGTAATCTTCGAATCGTCGCGGATCTGCATTGTCGTCGCGGATCTGCATTTCGTCGCGGATCTGCATTATCTGCATTTCGTCGCGGATCTGCATTTCATCGCGGATCTGCATTTCGTCGCGGGATCTTGGCGGTGCAACGTTAGATCCAAGGCGGTTGAAAT